GGGGGTGGGGTGTAAATGGAGGCTTAGTTTTTTGTTGTTGTTTTTTGATAGTTTAGATAATCAAGTCATAACCATTCTTATTCTTTGACGGATGGTCATGAAAAAATAATAAAATCAAAGGAATTTTTTCACTCATCACTAAATCTATTTTTATTTTCCTGTGGTGCAAAAAGGAGGCAGAAGTACTTCCAGATTTCTAATCATCTGTTACCCAAAGCATCATCTGGATGAATATGTTGAACAGCATGAATATGTAAAGCGATTATAGTACTAACAAACCAAGTTTCCTTAGAAGCTAGGAATTAAAGTGAAAGCACAGGAACGAGTATACGGGCAATGTCAGCAATAGAAATAGAGAAACCGAAAGATAATTGAAAAGTTGAGGTTTCAAACGTTCCGCAACATGCTCATACAGCAAAAATACAGCCGTAGAAAATGCCTTCGAAGCCCATCCGACTATACCGCGGCTTGAATCTGGATCCAAATATATAAGAACCAAAAATACAAGATGGTCACTTTATCAGAAAATGAAATCAAAAAATATGTTAATCTGCAAGTTAAAGAAGAAAATAGGAGATATACCATGGGTGTATGAGGAGATGGAGATTTTTTGTACAGAATATAGCTCGAGTTAAATAGAGGAGCTTGTTCTTGTTGATCTTCTTATCGCTGCCATCAGTGAAGTTGTACGACCGTTTCTATTTGACTGGCACTATAACCTTCGACGACATCTCGCACTTTTCGCAGACGAATGAGTAAACGGAGTTTGAAGGAATGCGGAGGCTCTGGGAATTGGGATTTGGTAGTGAAGTCGCTAGGGTTTCTAAGTAGGTTTGTACTTTGTAGCATTAAAAGACGGGAACATTACATAAATGAGGTGTTTTACTTTGCACAATTTCACTTCCAAGAAATATCTTTCAAAGTTTCAAAAACTCAGGTCATAACTCTGATTTTATTAATTAAATAAATAATTAAAAAATATTTTATTAATTAAATATATTAAGATTAAAATTATATAATTTGTTATCACAATTAAGCATCGATCACCAATTATCATATTAATAGGTCACATATTATTTTCGATCACAAACCATAAATTTTATAGATCACAATTTATTCATCGATCACAAATCACGATTTATATCACAGTCACAAATTATCAAATTTATTGGTCACAACCTAACAAATTGTCAGTCACAATTGCCACTTTAGTCCCAATCTCACATTTTTTTGGTCACGTATTGTTTATTGATCCCAAATTAATCATTTTGTTGGTCACAATCACCCACAAATTAAAAGTAATGCTATTTAGCCCTACTGAAATTGCAACCCCAGTCTATGTGGCGCTAATATGGCATTAATTGATAGATAGAATTAAATAACTTATTTAATTTCACATTTCATTTAACCTAACATCTAGTGCCACCTAAACTGGAGATGCAACCCCAGCAGGGCTACATAGTACTACTCACAAATTAATTATTTTATTGGTCACAATCACCTTAATAATTGATCACAAATACCCTTTATTGCACCCCACCCACCCCACCATCAATACCAATCCAGCCACGCTGACTCACCACCATCGACACTACCACCTACACCACTGCCAACAACCTAATCACTACTACTCCACCAACCACCTGTAACACTCTACAACCAACAACACTACCAAATCAGATCGGAGGAAACCACCCCGAAACATCAAAACCATCACCGTTGCTCAGCGAGGGCCGCACAAAGCTGCGACATTGTGTAGCGACGAAGTAAGGGTGTCAAAGATCCCGCTGCAGAGGCGTTGCCACTATGTGGCTGAGAGATCACCGCACATAACGGTGGTATAGATCTGAGTCTCATTGTGCGCAGTGGTAAGACATAACAGATCTTGTCGCATGCAGCAACGAGACATAACAGATCTCTCTGATCACCGCTGCAATGATTTGCACACCATTGTCAATTTATTTCACAATGGAATCTTATTTCATGACAATTAGTAGAGGAAAGGTAGAGAGAAATACAGTAAAGAGAGAAATGAAGAGAAAGGGAAGAATATAATTACGATTTGGAAGAAAATGAATTGTTTGTTTAGTAATTAATATTAAAAATTAATTTACCACCTGATTTTTGTATAAAAAAGTTTCAAACCTTATTTTTGAATGGGAACATTTAAATTTAGGGGTGGGTGTAAATTCCACTTACACACATCACTACAATTTAAATTAATATTCAAATTTTTCATCACCTTTTTTTTTAAAAAAAAAAGTACTACAACTTATGGAGTAAAATTGATAATCAATAAATCTATTCACTCCTATCAATAATCAAACTAAAAGCTACAATCACTCCATCAAACACGACATATCAACCATTACACATAATCATGCCCAAAATCCCCAAACCTTCATCCTCTCCATTGCAGCAAACATCAAGAAAACAACTTCATTCTCCTCAAATTCTTCTTCTGCCTGCTGAATAGTTCCAAATCACCTCAGATTGCTTCTTGTGGACTTTCCTGTTCATGCTCAACCTCATCTTTGTATTGGTTCGTCACTCATCGTGATTGTTGGGGTTCCATTTTTGTTGTCGAAAAATAGTAATGTAACTTTTCTTTATCCACTACAACATAGCAAATCAGGTTATCAATCTTGGTTACATTACATATATACTACTCAAAATTCAAAGGATGTCAGAATCAACATTTATACATGTTTTCATACTATAAATCTGTAGGACTACATTTTTTCAGATCATATATGAAATCTGGGGACACAGCCACGTAGGGTTACCAGTCTAAATTACATATAATTGTCGAATATGAATAAGATATCGACAATAAATAAGATATGAAATTGTTTCGCGCGGGTTAGTCGCTAACAATTAAAAAGGGATCAGACGATTGTGTAAGGGACAAACCTCTTGAGACAAAATCCCAAAAAGTGGCGTTTTTTATTGGCGATGACTTTACAATTGGGAAGTAAAAACAGAATGCATCCAAGGGGCGCAAGCACACGATTACTGTAAAAGAAGTGTTTAAATCTAAACTAAAAAATTGAAAGTTACATATTCTTTGTTTGAGAGTGTTTGATTCCGGGGCTTTTGCTCTTTGTCTTTTCTTCCTATTATACTTCCTGGATGATCTGATCAACCGCCTAAAAACTGCTTGATCGTTCTATAACTGACCACTTTCCTCGTAATGGCCAACTTCTCATGGAACTGCCTTTTCTAACTGATGTCATTACTCTTTGTCGTTCAACCGTCTTCAATTGAATTCCTTGAATCGTGGAACATGATAGGGCTGCTTAATAACTGCTTTGATAACTGCGCTTCTTGATAACCATAACACTTTATGTTTGCTAAGACCTTGGACGACTCGAAGGTTTGGGCGAGAATAGAGTAGCAGCTCTGGGTGACTGCATGGCACTCCATTCGCTCAGATCCTGGGCGACTTGCAAGCTTGGACGATGGTGTTACCGCATTCATGGCCTCCCTATTTGGGCCTTCGTCCTGAATTGTCGATTGGGCTTTGTTCTTTGGGCTATCTGATTTGGGGATCCTCCAATTGGACTTCATTCCTTAGGCCGTTCGATTTGGGCTGAATTTTTATGTGTCAACAATTACCCCCCAATATGGTAGAATTAATACCAATTATTAAATTTTTCCATATTCACTTTGTGTTTCCGGCAACATTCGAAATTTCCAAGAATTTCAATCATTGTTTTCTTCCATAGCTTGAAAAGGTGCGACGTTTTGCAAACCCTTATAACCCCCAAATACGTCATTTCACTGCACCATTAAATCACGCCTCACTTTTTTCACGCTTCTCTCTCATAATTTTACTGTTCATCTCTTTGCTTCCCTACTACGTAACTCTGAAAAACTCCATTTCGTCCCTAATGGCTACTTCACAATCTCAATCTGGCGACTCCTTTAATTTTGAAGACTTTCAGAAACTCCTTAATCGTTCATACATAACTCCGAACTTTCTCGCACCTGCCAATGTCAAACTCAATGAGTTCTACTAGGTCCTTTCTTCAACAATGCAGAGGCAGTCGAACAAGCGTCGGTGGGTCAGCTATTTCCTTGTACTCAAGGCCCTCCATTTCTAAACTCTCTGTCATTGGGGTCACTTCGCGAAAGAGGTATTCGCACTTAACCTAAATCTGATGTAGTTTTCCGTAGGTGGCATGCTCGCCTGGTGGACCATGGTCCTACTAAGGCACTTTTTGATAATGCTAGGATTTCTGATTTGTTAAAAATCTCTCTTCAACCACCTGCTTTTGATTCAGCACTTTTTTCGATCGCTTTAAGTTTTTGGTCTTCTGACTATAATACCTTTGTTTTCCCTCTTGGCCCCATGTCTATTACTTTAAGGGATGTTGGGGACCTAGTGAATCTGCCACCTTTGGGTGATACCATTTTTCCTGGTATCTTGGTTTCTGGTGGCGCCCCAAAGTTTGGTAAAAACCTCACCGAGTCTTATTCAAGCCTGCAAACCCTTCATAACCACTCGAGCGCTGAGCCTTCCCATACTGAGCGAGTGGCCTTTCTTCTGATTTGGCTTTGTAAATATGTTTTGTGTGTGCCAAGCATAAAGCCCTCCCTGGGCTATTTACCCATAGCGCACGAATTGGCGCGTGGTAGGCCTCTGAATTTATGTTCTTTCTTTTTGGCTATCCTCTATAGAGGCATGGCTTCTCTTCAATCTCAATTGAAGAATGGTGCATCTCCCACTGGTAGTGGACCTCTTTGGTTCACTCAAATGTGGTTGAGATCCTATTTTCCATCACTTGGTGCTCCATCATTTTCTCGTCCTTCTGTTAGCTGCTATGGGCTAGCCATTGAGCCCTTGGCTCCTGTAAATATGTCTAGAAGGGATATTTTTTCATTCTTTTATTCTTTGGATTCAATCCCTTCCTTCTTTCCTTTTCCTCCCTTTTTGACTCCAGACTATGTGCATCCTCCCTCCACTATAGACAGCACGAGCACATCTCTGCTCATTTGGATCCAATTTTTAATCGGGAGGAAGTTATTTCATGATATTTTGACTGGGACCAATGCTAAGGCTGGGGTAGAAATATATGCTCTCCAATTTTTTGATCGCCAACTTGGTTTCGGCCAAACCTGGCATGTTCCTCCTTGCTATTCAAGGAACTTGATAGACCGCTTCCATATCATTAATAAAGTGGAGGCAGAGGTTATAAATGCTCGCAATCTTCTTCTAACGAGCCATTTTTCATTAGCTCACTTCAATTCTAGCCGTGTCATCCACCCCCTTTTTGAACAATTCTGGTCGTCAATGAAGTACAGATTGTTTACGACTGATGCCAATCATGCCTTTCATTCACTGGACCAACCAAGCATTTCTTCCCCTCCTCCTGTTTTAGTCACCCCTTTGTCCATCCGGAGTCCTTCTCCTCCTCGTCGTGCTAAACAATCTGCTCGTCCATCTTCTTCTCTCCCTGCCAAGCCTACTGCAGCCAAAAGTGCCCCGAGCCGCAAATGGCCAGCCTCAGCATCTCCCATTCTGGAGGATGATGTTGATGATGATGATGATACCCCTCTTATCATCAGGAGGAAGGTAATTAAATTGGTTTACTCACAAGCATACTTTTCCATACTTGAAACTTTTCTGTGTGTTGATGTTTTATTTGGACTTCTCAGAAAAATTCAGCCTCTCCTTTGAAGGCCTTAGTGTCGGCAGCTCCTGCTCCATCATCCTCCGCTGAGGCTGCTTCATCCAAACCAACTGATGAAGAGAGTACGCTTAAAGAGATATCTTCAGTCCCAGAATCTTCATCACAACCAATGGATGAGCCACCCTCTACCTAGGGTGTCGACCCCCCAAACATCGAAGTAGAAGG